TATATATGATCAACTTCACAAGTAAAGATTGGGATCAACACCTTCACTTTGGTGTCTGTGTTGTTTCTCCACCCCCTCTTTCGCTGACTCCTCACTATCCTTTCATCTCCTGAGACCCCCTGTTGGAGCTGGTCTCTGACACCTCAATAAACAGGATGGTCTCACGTGTGCTCTCTCTCTTTTGCCAGCCTTCCTTGCCTCTCTTCTGGGAACTGGGGCAGAGAAGCCATGACTAAACCCCAAGAAAAAGGTACTTTCTGTGTCTGTGAGATTATTCAGTGCCAACCCAATTCACCTGGAGTGACTCTGACTGATTTAGTCATGTGTAGCAGCAAGGGATTATATACAAAAAACTATTGTTCAGACCAGTGTCCTGAAGCATTTCCTCCATGTTTTCTAGTAGTTTCATGGAACTGGGTAGTACATTTAAATAATTGATCCATTTTGAGGTGCTGTTTGTATAGGGAGAGAGATAGGTGTCTGGTTTCTTTCTTCTTCATATGGCATCTTGCTGTCCAGGAACAATTTACAGAAAGGACTTCCTTTCTCTGATGAGTGTTTTCCCTGATTTTTTCAAAGTCAATTTTGTTTTTTTGTTTATTTGTTACTTATATTTGTGAAATGGATAGTTAAATGAAAGGAAGATTGAGTAATAGATGCCTAGCTGGCTTAATGAATGATTACAGGGTGAATGGATGAATAAATAAAAGAATAAACAAATTCAACATGACCGCACACCTAGAAAACAAAAAGAACCAGTTCTTGCCTTTATGTTGATTTCCATTCTGAATTACACACAAATAATTAATAATAATTTAACATTAAATTGCAGTATTCGACACTGACATAACCAATGGAAACAGAATTAGTTTTCTTTTTTTGTTTGTTTGTTTTAACTTGTATTGAGTTAATGAATTTCACATAGAAGTAATGTCCATTGTTCTTCTTTATATTATTTATCACCCTTGTTTACCACCCACATCTCCCCGGTAACTGAATCAGGGTCATTCCGCATGGTTTGGGTTGGCAACGAAAAGACCACACGGACACAGAAGTACCTTTTGTGGGGGGTCAGGAAGGCTCTGCAAGCTGCAACCTCAAAGGTCAAGTTCCTACACTGGACAGCACTGAAAAGGGCACAAAAAGCAAGAGAGGCAAGAGAGCGAGTGCACCCTGAACCCCCCCCTATTTATTAGGGAAAAGACATAAAAGACATTCAATAGCATATTCCACCTAAATCAGGCAAGGGATTGTGTTACAAGAAACAGGTGGGTAGCCCAATCCCATTGGGTAACTCCCAAGCCAAGGCACTTCCTTGCACTTTCTTACACTTCCTTGTTAGACCCACTTTCTTCGCACAGCTGGGAACCCCAGTTTAATACCCCCATATCTCAAGGCTGAGGGGATGTGCCTAGCTCCTGTACAGGGCAGCCTGACACTTGTTCATTCTATGTTTTTTTTTCTACTGTTAATATTTGTTAAGGAAAAAAATAATAATTTGTATTCTGACAAAATGTAAATGGAAGTTAGAAGAAGAGGTCAATATTAATAAGTGCTTATTTTTTAAATAAGGTTAAGAGAAAACCCAAGAGGAGTTTATTAAGATACTACCAACCCAAATGAATGCATGTTGTTGAGAAATAAATTTTAGATTATTGTTTAACTATTTGTAGGAAAACTGAGTAGATGTATTTCCCAGATTGGTAGATTTGATTTCAGTAATAATTCTTAGTGTTCTACTGGCTAACTACTAAGTATTGAATTTTCCTATATTTTAGTAAGCCCATTTCTATATCTGGAGACAGGAACACTAAGGCTCATACTTTCAACCTATTTTATAAGGTCTGTCTTACCAATTTAAAGTGTTCATGAAATTCTCAGGCACTAATCATTTCACTTCATTTGGAATCCATATGGTAGTTTCTAAGTCTCTCCATAGCACTTTTCATTTCTTTGTTTCTCAGGGTATATATGGCTGGATTGAGGAGTGGTGTAAAGACAGAGTAAAATACAGCAAGAAATTTGTCCAACCAGGTGATGTTGAGTGGCCACACATAGATGAACATACAAGGCACAAAAAAGATCACTACCACTGTGATGTGGGCACTGCAGGTGGACAGGGCTTTAGATGCACCAGTTTTAGACCTCTGGTGAACAGTGAGAAGAATGTATGTGTAGGACATCAGCAAGAGAATGAAGCAGGTTACAACCACAACCCCACTGTCAGCATTCATTACTATTCCCAAGTTAGAAGAATCCATGCAGGCCAGCTTGATCACCAGTGGTATGTCACAGAAGAAGCTGTCTATTTCCCTGGGGCCACAGAAAGGCAGCTGCACAATCACAGCCATTTGACTCATGGCATGCACAAAGCCC